GATGGACACCCTTTCCGATTATGAACCATGCAGTGTCTCCTTGCTCTGTTCTGACGACTGCCTGTAGGTTCAAATATAGGTTTCACAAATTCTTAAGATCTCATTCTTCTCAGAGTTAGACACAGTTTGTTGTGATCCACACAGTCAAAAGCCTTTGCATAGCCAATGAGGCACAGATTGACATTCCTCTGGTACTCTACTTTCTGCCAAGATCCATCTGACATTAGCTATAATATCTCTAGTGCCACAGCCTCTTCTAAACCCAGCCTGTACATCTGACAGTTCTCTGTTGACGTGTTGCCTTAGTAATTTTTGGAAAATTTTCAGCAGAATCTTGATAGCATGTGATATTAATCATATTGTTCAGTAATTTTCACACTCAGTTGGGTCACCTTTCTATGAAATTGTAATAAATATTGATCTCTTCCAGTCAGTTGGCCAGGTGGCTGTCCTCCAGATTTCTTGGCACAACTTAGTGAGTGAGCACATGCAGGGAAGAATCTGTTTGTTGAAATATTTCAATTGGTATGCTGTCAACTCCTGGAGCCTTGTTTTTTGCCAATACATTCAGAACAACTCGAACTTCCTCCTTCATCACCACAGGCTCTTGGTCATACATCGTTCTATTAAATTCTTCTGTGTCCTCCAATTCCTTTTGTTAAAGTGACTCTGTTTACTCCTTCCATCTTCTCTTAATACTTCTTGGATCACTTAACATTCTGCCCAAAGCATCCTTAAGTATTGCCACTCATGGCTTAAATTTGTTTCTAAAGTCCTCCAGCTTAAGAAATGCTGAGCAAGTTCAGCCCTTTTGATCTTCTGATTCCAGCTCTTTGCACATTTCAGTATAATACCTTGCTTTGTTAGCCCAAGCTTTTCTGTGAAACTTTTTGTACAGCTCTCTAATTTCTTGGTTTCTTCCTTTAACTTTGGCTTCTTGGTGCTCTAATACAATATTAAGAGTCTCATCTGATATCCATCTTTGTCTATTATTCCTCTTCTCTCTTTGTAATGACCTTTTTGCATTCTTTATGGACGATATTCTTGATTTCCTCCCACAGCTCATTTGGTCTTCGCTCACTGGTGTTCAAGGCCTCAAACCTGTCACTGAAATGGTTTTGAAATTAGAGTGGGATAGACTTAAGGTCAAATTTTGGTTCCTGTGGATTTGATTTACAGCTTGAACCTGCATATGAGTAGTTGGTGGTCTGTTCCACAATCAGCACCTGGCCTGGTTTTAACAGCTGATATTGAGCTTCTCCAGCGATTCTTTTCACAAATGTAATTGATTTGATTCCAATGCATACCACCAGGTAAAATCCATATGTATAGCCTGTGCTTGTGTTTCTTATAAAAGGTGTTTTCAATGAATAAATTATTGAATGTGTAGAATTCTATTGCTCTATCTCCTGCATATCTGTCACCAAGTCCATGTTTTCCAGCTACTAATCATTCTTCCCTGTTGCCAGCTTTTACATTCCAGTCACCCATTATTATCAATGCATCTTGATTGCATGTTTAATCAATCTCTGACTGCAAATGTTGGTAGAAATCTTCTCTTTCCTCCTCTTTGGCTTTGTTTGTTGGTCCATATATTTGAATGATGGTGGTTTTCACTGGACTTCCGTGTATGAGTATGGATATTACCCTATCACTCACCACATTGTATTTCATGATGGATATAGAAATAATTTTTTTTTTGGTTATGAAAGCAACCCCATATTTTCTCACATTTTCATCCCTGGCATAGTAGGTCATATGATCATCTCATTCAGACTGTCCCATGCCAAGCCATTCACTCTGCCATTACCAATTATGCCAATATTTATGCTTTCCACATATATCAAATTCAAGAATATACATATAACAGTTGTAAAAGTCTGCTTTTTATACAGTAGTCACTTTTCATCTCAACAGATGAGAACTCAATAGTTACTAATTTACACTTAAAATAATTAAAAGCAAATATAATTCTTGGAAAAGAATAAATTGAAGTCCAACAACCAAATACTCCTATTTATTTTACATTGATAGTCACTTAGATATTTTTGGTTTGTTATGAATTTATATAAATAAA